ACACCAAAAACCGATAGTAAAATTTCAAATTACATACAAATAACTTGGATTAGAATAAGGAAATTAGGAAATGATTGAAGAATTGATATTGAAATTTTTTTCGTTAACAACTTCGAAATTGTCGATTCGATATTACTTTCAAATTGGGAATAAATAATAATCAAAGTAACTTAGTATGCCGTCAACGAAGCGGAGTAAAAAGTTCTACGATTTTGAGTTATTTGTATGAAAAGGTGGGCGCCTCTTATTATTCGCCCCGAGGCGAACCTAATCCGATCCGTATTTGTAGTAAATGCCTCGTAACAGTAAATTTCTATATTTTTGATTCAAATTGAAGCAAGCACACATCTTCACGGCCGCACACAGGCTCACACCCAAACCCAAACCCACAACCGCCTACCCCTACATCTACCACATATACGCACATACACACACACATATTATATATATATATATATATATATATATATATACACACACACAAACACACACATACACACACACTTATGCATACATACACATATGTTCGCCCTTCTACTGAGTAATATAATAATAATAATAATAATAATAATTATAATAATAATGATAATGATAATAATAATAATAAATTAAACTCTGTGTTGCCTCGTTTGTATAAATTATAAATATCGCAATAAGCTAATTACACAACAAATACAAATACATTTTATTTTATTATTTGCTTATGAGTTTCTATTTATTTGAATGTGTGTGTCGGCGTGCTTTTCTCCTCTTGTTTGTTTATTTGTTTGGTTTTTTTTTTTTCTTTTTGCTTTCTTTTTAGCATTTAATTTATAGCTTCCATCAGTTGTAATTCACGATTTCATTTTTAATTTATTTTTCTCATTTTTATTTTCGTTTATTAAAATATAAATTACATTGCAACACGTTTTGTTTTATGAATTCTCCGTACGATGGTATTGTTTAATATTTGCAAGATATATTAACTTTATCATTGCATACGTGCGTACGAACGTATGCTAATAATAAAATTATTGCGTTGACAAAAATTGAAGAGAAATTTTTGTATCACTTTGGCCTGGCGGGAAATTGGAATAGATTTTCAAGTATTAGCGATGTAGGTGTAAAGGATATTTGAAAACCTACTCTAATAGAAATTTTTCAAAACAGTCTTAAGTCCACAGTAAATCTGTTCATCATTTTGAATATATAATCATTTCAAAAGGGATAATCATCACAACGTAAACGTAGGGATAAGTTCATGCAAAAATTCCGCTCAATATATCACTTGATATAGGCTTTGTTCTTCTTTCATTTATCGATTTACGTTTTCATAATTTCCCTGGCATTGTTATTGCATTTTCCCGAATACATATGTGCATATTAATGCAATAACAAATGTTAATCAGTCATTTTTATGCAATTAATTAAAATTTTTACTCATTACCTAAATACATAATAAATTTTATAAATATTAAAAAACAGCAAATTCGCATTGGCCGGAGCAATCGCAGGGGTGAGAAGGGAGGTGAAAAACAAATGCCACAGTAGTTCCCCGTTTCACGCAATTCTATAATGTTATGATTTACAAAATCCGTCTCGATACGCGGGCGAAATGCTCATAACATTCGTTCCATAAAACTCTTAATACACGTGTGTGTGTGTGTGTGTGTGTGTGTGTGTGTGTGTATGTTATGGTTTTTTTTTTTTTTTAATTTAACACTATTTTCCCGGCAATCGCCAACTTGACCAGTTTTTGGTTGTAGAAATTCAGCGTAAGCATGTCCATATCTCTAGATATGTTGATATTATATTGATTTGTAATGATATAATGATTTTTTTCTTCGGACACGCCCACTTTTGCTATTTTGATACAAACGTGATATTGTATACCTATTTCTAAGAAAACGCATTAATTTGCCGAAGAAATTTTTTGAATCGTCAAAGTCGGAAAAATAAAGATAATAAGGTGAAATTTGACCCAGACATTTCTCGATCGATTAAGAATACGAGATTAAAAACTGAGTGCAATCTGTTCGCAACCACACCCACAATGCAGAAGAAACGAAAACAATCTGCGCGAGCATTGCCAGCTTTTTATTATTTTCGCCTATAACATCCAAATTCGTGTATATATCACTTGCCAAAAAATGGGTAACCAAATATTTGCCAGAACCACCTGAACGTTCGGTACCAAAAAATATGTCGATTGATTTATGAATGCGTACACAATTGATGGCAAAACTTTAATTCCAATTTACTTCTATAAATTGGATTGGATTTCGTTGTTAATTGTGAACGTGTTAGTGAACCGATTGAAACCATTTTTGTATTCAACATAAAAGTGATCCTGATGACTATCGCAGTCACACATTTTCGACAATATACTGCTAGTATCAATTGTTGTAAACGAAAATATGAAATGGACTGTCAGTGTTTACCGAAGTTGGTCTAATTTCTTCTGCATTGTGGGCGCGTCTGTGAATAGATTACACATCATATTCTTAAACGATTAAGGAATAATTATTTCAATTTTAAGCTTCTTATCTGCATATTTTTGACTGAGACGAATGACGAAATTTACCCCTCAAACCGACAGCTTTTCGTACATAACGCGAATGTTTGCCTTTTAAACGTTTAGCGCAAAAGAGCAAAGTATGCAATTTTATTAAATCGCTGATGATATTCGAACATGTCAAGGAGGTGTAGATAATTTTGGTTAGTATCGTTTTTTTACTATCGGTTTTACTATATGTCCGTCCAGTCTTAGACGGCCTGCTACGAGCGAAGTTGAATAACGAGCTCATTTTACCCATGAATAAAAAATTCCGCAATAATCGGAAAACTGAATTCATTTTGAAAATAGAACAAATCTTTGAATACGTATTTAATAACACACAGTGTTACTAATTTACTGCTCATATATATGCTGCATATATATGTACATACATTATTTATGCCCATGTTATTATTCCATGCGAAATGGATTTCAATTAGTTACGAGAAATTTATGATTGTTGCCGAATTATGAATGGTAGGTAATGGTAATCCGAGATTTGCTTAAGTTACATTCAACAGGACCACGCGAGTTTTATGTCGTGTAAGAGGGGAAATTACTGTACACAACAATTAAATGTCATTAATTTTTTATGCATAGATGTTGACATAAAGGAATGCGTAGTATTGTTACTGGAGGTGCGCGTAGGTAAACTTAACCTTTTTAATTCAATTCAATTTCTCCAATAGTTCTGTCATTTAAATCGTTTAATAAACGGGAAAGGTTTAAATTCAAACATAAATTAACGAAATGCGAACTCTCTAAGTTATCATTGAAAAGAGAATCCCAGGTATTTTGTGAAACAAGTGTTCGGAGAAAGTTTCAGTTTGAAGCCCACAATTTGCAAAGCAGGGAATTAACGATTCTTGAAAATGAAACATGGAAACTTTTTAAATAGAAATCATATAATTATTGTGCTGTGTGTGTGTGTTTTAAGCATAGTGCTGAAATTATTTTGAAAACATGCGATAAATCAATACGTTTTCATCAATTATTTATCTATATAGATGCGCTCGCATATTTTTTTCCTAGTGAATATTCCGCGAAAGTTTCCATTGTTAGTTAAGTCAGTGATGTGATGTGATACGAAGGTGGATCAGTATAATCTAACCTTTGTGTAACTCTGATCTATAGGTCTAAAGTTTAGTGCAATGCCTGAATTGGCAAATTGACGCTCCTATGGAGAGTGTGTTGAAGGCCAGCCTATCAACGTCGGTGCGATATCGACCTCTTACTTTGAGATATGGATTGATAAAGTGGTAAAGGACTTTTAGATAGATGTGATCAATTTCAAACGTATGCAAGCCTTTTTTCACGGCGCCTATCTATTTACTTGAAGTGATACGCATTTAATAATAAAACATTAAATTTCCTCCCTTTTAATCTTTCTAACAGTTTTTTAAGTCTCTTTTTATTTTTAAAAGAAAGCGTTTGAGAAACTCTGATAAATATACCCATAAGGTCGCACAACTTGAAGATTTCTCGTTGGAACGTCATGAGTGAAAATTGCTGAATATTAAATGCAATACCGTATACCGTATAATGGAAAGTAACGGCGAATGATGAATCGTGGCTGATGTCTTTATTTACTATAAACTTGAAAATGAATTTTAAATTTCTGACATACATGCACACACACACACATATATATATATATATATATACATATATATATATATATATACATGCATTATTATTACATCTATAGTGTTTTTGTTGTACATATGTTGTTTTTCGCTTATGTTCGTTAAAAATTCACTTTTCTTTTTTTATAATGATTTAAAAATAAAATTATTGATTGTAATTTATATTTTATATATATTAAAAAATTATTTACTCATTTTTTTCTTTTTTTTTATTAATCGGAGTATACGACAGGAATGCTTGTAAAAGCATATGTATGTAACTGTAATCATTTTCTTTTTTTCTGCTTTTTTTTTTATCTCGTTTTAGTCATACTAATGCATCTTTAAGTAATTATTTTCATAAATTTTTCTTTAATAGATAGGGGTACACATACATACATGAGTAATTATTACAAAAAAAAAAAAAAAAAAAAAAAAATGAAAGACAGATTTTATAATTTTTTTAATAAATTTATTTATCTACACTTAACTAAAACTAAATAAACATTTTTGCTGTCGTGGCAGTTTGATTAATCAATTAATTAATTGTTGGAGTTGATGACAGTTTAGAGATGCCGCTTGCGCGGACATTATATAACTTAATCAACTTCTACTTAATTATTAAATACTTACACATTGTATGATTGTGTTTGTATGTGTGTTTGCTTGTTCTTTTTTTTTTTTTCGTTTTTCTTTGTATGCACTAATGTACATATGTATGTATGCATGTATGCATGTATGTATGAATGTATGAATGTATGTATGCATGTTTGTATGTACGTTGCATGTATATCTATATGTTGGTGTGAAAGAATGTTTGTATGTATGTATGTATGGATGGATGGATGGATGAATGTATGTATGTACGTATGTATGGATGTGCATCTGCGTTTGTGTCTATGCGCCTTTGAATGTATTCATACATTTTAATTCTATTAAAAGTTGCGTTTGTTGTTAGTCATTAAATTCTCTATATTATTATATAGAATATATATACTTATACGTATATATATATACACATAAATATTTAGATATGGCCACTACATTAGAGACCATCACTGGGGTTAATTTTTTCCTTTTTTTTTTTTAAATTTTATTTTGTTTCATTTTCTCTTTTATTTTATATTTAGTTCAGTTATGTTCTATAGAGCTGGAGGAAGGGTTAAAGTATACATTTTTTATTTATTTATTATAGGGATGATTTACATCTGGATTACGCATTAGCGCACTATTTTGATTGGCCGTCAATTGTTCGTGATTGCTTAGTATTTTCTCAGTTTCCTGACGGCTGTTGGCCATTATGCGACGTATTGTGGGTGCGCAGGGTGTACGTCAAAGTCGAGACTCCTGCGCATGTTCATGTCAAACTTGACTGTGTGCATTCATATGTAACGTTTCGGGATCATTGGGTGGTGTGTTCGCTGGTCCACCACCCGCACTAAGCTGACCTGTCGGATAGTACTGTAACGAGGCACAATTTAGGTACTGTTTCGGTGTTAGGATAGTTTGGAAAGCATTTCATAATTAACAATAATATGAAAAGCAACAAATAATCGCAATAGAAATAAATGCATAACAATTATATGTATAAAGCGTATTATAACGATCTGAAATTTCGTGATATGATGAAATTTATTCTAACATATTGCACAACGATCAACCTTCGACCTTCCCGAGTCTGATACATTTTTAATTAACATAATAAATACAGCGGTATTTTTTACAAGCTATCTGCGCGCTCTACTAGTCTACTAGTGTACTTCGAACTCGCTTTTAAGTGAAAACCTTTTATTTTTGTTTGAGAAAAACGATTTACTTTGTAAGCTAAATTTTTGTTAAAACAGTTATTGCCGAAATAAGTGTATACGCCCACATCGCCGACGTGACTAAGAGGCTGTGCTCGCAGTAGCGTTTCCAATAAAGCCGATGATACTTTGGGACTTTAATCTTTCAATTTATTTCTTTGGCTAAACTAATTGTTCTAATAATAACAATAACAATAACAGGAGAAAAATTAAGAATTAAGACAATTATAGTTAATTACGCTACATCTTTTCATCTATCGTCTGCATACATCTTTGCTTATCTTTGTCTTGAAATATCAAAAATTCGACCTTGGTCAGAACGCTTCTATGGGGAAGGTTTCGAAAAACTGATTTATAAATAGTCTTAACTTGACATCGTACATTTAATTAATGCTATCATTAATTTTTAACCATTGTGCATTATAAGATATAAGAAATAAGACAAACCAATTTTTTTTTTTTGTTAAAACGTTTATAAGGGAAGAGATTTCGATAAACAAAGTATGCCAAAATACTATAGTGTCAAGATATATATTAAAAATGATTAAATTATTTCTTTCGCTTGTAATGAAGGAATTGAAAAAGAGTCAATATACAGAATTCGCGATATTTGAAAGTTGTGAACTGTAGGTGGAACAAAAAAGAAAAATTACGCGGACTGACATCAGAGAGATAGATGAAGAGAAAGACAGATATGCTTAAATTAATTGAGAAAATGTTTCTGAGGTAAATAAATTACGGGTCTATTGTAAGCCGTGCTGGACATAGCATACAACCGCACAAACTTAATTTATTCTTAGGCGTAAACGCTATATATGTATATAATGTTGTCTTTTGAAATAACTTTATTTGAAATAAAATGGACTGATTCAGACTGCTATGAATAGCTGTATTCAAAATATTGATAGCGCGATAAATTGAGCATTTGAGTTCTGTGTTTTCTTTGCAAAAGATTATAGGCAATAGTTGACGATATGTTCTTGCTATTTTTCTCGTGCGAATTAGATTCGAAGGTGCAGAGTCAAAAGGATGTTGGCTGTTGAAAATGATTAGCTATTAATAGTTGGATTTTGTACACATCGATTAAGGCACAACACCCACTTTTAATAAAGTTGCGTCACTCAAATAAATCTCGTATGTATTCTATTCAAATCTATTCAAATTAATCCATAAGCAAGGAAATTCTTCAAGTTTGTGTTGTAGTGTGCGTGATGCTGAATGAATTTCTTTGCCTTCTAATCCTAAAGCAAGTAAAGGCTCTTCGATCACAAAATTCTTCCAACATTAAATGCCTAAGAAGATTTGAACGCATTCAAATCAGTTTGGTGCGGGTCAAATAGTAGCAGAGGACATTACCTTTTGGACACAGAACGATCATAGGCTCTTTCTTTTTTCCTCTACTAGTATATGTATGTATTAGTAGCATACATATCTTCGTATATGCGATTAGGTTACAATTTCTCATATGATGTTTGCAAACACTTTGCCGCGTGCACACAAGGCTGTATTAACAATTCGTTAGGTCTTCTTTTTGAGTGTTCTGTGGTACATTGATTTGATTACAAATTGTTTCGTATGCAAAATAAAGCTAACGGTCGCATGAACGACTTTTTCAGTGCGATACACTAAACTTATAAAGGAAACGTCACAATTCATGAGGCCAGCACACTTAATGTGTTGAAAATTTATGCCCAACGGTAGCAATTGTAACTACAACTGCAACTACATTGCAACAGTTCGCTGGAAATCTCAATATTCATGATCGACGGCCTTTCGGTTGATATGAATCCATGAATAGATGTTTGTTCTTCATGTTCGCATTTAGGATTTTATGATTGTGAGCAACTGAGAACAGTTAAAACTGAATGGCTTATGGCTTTGGCTATTTTACATAAAACATACGTTCACCAGTTCAGAGCTATAAAGTGAAATAAACCAATTGGAATGCCAAATAGTAATGACTTATGTTAGGCATGAACACGAACGGATGAGTAAGCGTCTTACAATTATATCAATGATTATGTTATTTGCAAAATGTTTTCATATTTGAAAAATGTTTCCCTTTATCACAACAATCTCGACCTTGGATACATAAATTCAAGCGCTTTAAGTTAATAGGTAAAGGGTCCATTAAACAATTTGCACTTAATAAATGCAAGGACTTGAATGGGGTTGACTGCATATCAATCGTAACGTCCTTTAATTTGTTAATATTTTGATGTCTTCTATCGGAAGTTTTTCTTGATAAGGAACTTGCCTAGACAAAGAAAAACTAAAATAACCTCCTTCCGAAAAATTTAATTCATCGCGACAGAGTAATCCATTTAACGTATCCAAAAATATTAGTTATTGAATTGCTCAGGGCTTTTTGGTTTTATTTACAGATAAAGAAACGTGTACTTCTACGGATTAGTATGGAGGGTACTGTTCAAGCAGGGATTTACATATTTCGTATGAGAGGTGCCATCAATTTTTCTACCTTATACTAGTTGTGTAAGATTGCGCGGATGTATGCAACATCACGAAGGACTTGAGATAGACCCACCTTTTTTTGATAGCAAACGATGCGAAATCATTTTCTAAACTGATTGAAGCCTGTCTATCCCTCTGTTCATATGATATGTGTTTATATGCATTATAATGTTTAGCGTAGAGATCGAGATTTTTGAATTGAATTGCATCAGGCCGCAATTTACGATCACTTCACCAGCCATTGCATAAAAAAAACTTTTTGCCTTTAATATTTTTATTAAAAAAGAGTAATTTATTATGCTACGTAAACGGGAAAATTTTGTACTGCGTGGGAACATTTCTTGACCGACATTGTCCCATTTTTTGTATATCCTTTTATATAAGGGCATATATTATGACAAAGACATGTGAGAACTTGATCGAACTTGCACGACTGCATAACCTTTCAATTTATTTTTTTTTTTTCATATTTTTATTAAATTCAAACGCCATCCGTTAAAAATAGTATTGTTATCAGATGAGTTTTGTAATTCAGATGATTCTCTCTTCTCATCTTACTCTGGCTTACTGCTTGAGACTGAGAAGTTTACCGCGGTGTTAGATGTGCAAAGAACTCGTCCTTTTGTGACATTTTTTTTTTTGCCTTTTGATGGTCTAAGTTGCACTGATGAAGGGTAGCTGATGTGTTTCCATTCGGTCATTGGTGGTGCTTTTGATAATGAATTGAAAAATTCAAGATTTTCTGAATTCGTTAAAAGCGATTTCAAGCCGCCAAATACTGTTGCTGTGCATGAACTATCAGAGTAAAATTGAATTGTCGTTCACCGTGATATCAATTGAACACTTAATAATTTAAATATTTCCAACGATGTATTAAGTTTAGAGACGATAACAAGGCAATCGTAGAGAGCACTACGGCCTCTAAATTATATTGCTGTCTTAAAGGACGCTTCAATTCGAAAAGTTATAGAGATGTTTTCGTTTATTAGAAAACAAATTGGTGTCCGAGATGTTCGAGAGGCTTTATTAAAAATAAAAAAAGAAACATAGACATAGGTATATACAAAGTTTTGATTTTTCAAGCGGTCAAAATACGTGAAACTATTTATTTCATTTCGATTGTGTTCTTGCGCATTATCATTTAAAGGTAATCCGCATTGTAATTAATATCGTTCTCGATATAATATTTAGATTAGAGATGTGGGTAGTTATCCATGACGTTCTGTAAGATGGAAATCTTGTTACGAATCCAAGCTCGTTCCTCAAACAAATGAAGTAATTATCAGCGTCACAATGATAATGCAACAAATAAATAAAAAAGGAACTTATAACGTTAGGCGATTATGAAAAGGGGGGAAAGGTTACGGTAGTCCTTGTAACTGAGCAATTTATTAAATTTTTGTTTTATATTCGTACGTAATTGTTTACTTAACACTACAATTAAAATGCAATTATTCTGTGTCATATGTATGTTATTATACTTGCATAATTGTGGAGCAATGAATATAATAACATATAATAATTAGCGCTTATTCTTGCGCATACACCCCGTGCACACGCAATTGCATGCATTGCATTCTCGTCAATCGTCAATCGCGCTTAATATCAATCAAAGGTCGATGATATTCTTGCGTAGGCACAATTTATTAAATTTCATTATTTATTGTAGACACATCGTTAGCGATGGCATTGGAAATGTGAGTGCATGAGTATGTTTGCGAATTCATTATTATATCACTTCTTTTTTTTGTTTTTTTTTTTGTTGAATTGCAACAAAATCGAACAAAGGCTAATAATAATGATGACAATGATGATAATGATAATAATAATGATGATGATGATGATGATGATGATGATGTCACTTGAATCTGTGATATGATTACATGGCCAAAAATTTAAATGCGGCTTAGATAATTTAATAGATATAGGAGATGTTAGCTAATGCGGGTAATGAAGGGAATTTTCATTTAAACGCCATACGCTGTAACGTTAATTAAGTGTTTATTGTTATGATTTTTGCGCTATCTTTGGTTTTAAGCCGGTTGTTAAGCGGCAGGAAAAAGCGGAGTATGTTAATCGCTTTCGCTAAATTTCGAAAACGAATTAGAAAAAGATTGTTATCATCATCCTTATTATCATCGTCGTTATCATCGCCGTCATGATAATCAATATGTTGTTCTGTTCTTCTTTATTCCAGCCATCAGTAAAATTAATATGTACATCATGGACACAGATGATTGTGTGACACAATTTAGTTCTTCTTTTAATGAAAACCTCATCAACTACAAAGTACTATGAAACTTACACACACGTTCGCTCACTCGCTCACTCGCTCACTCACTCACTCACTCAGTCACTCACTCATTCACCAACTCACTGACTGATTGACATGTATGCATATATTAAACAAAAGAAAAAATGGAACAAAAAAAAAAAAAAAAAAAAAAAAAAATAGCAAAAGCTAAACCTAAATAGAAAGTAGAACATAAAACAATAATAACAATAAAAGCAATACCAGCAGTAAGCAGTAATAGTAGCAGAAGCAAACTTTAAAATTGAGAGAAAACTTACCCCGACACGTCCATTATCATATTCTCTGCTTGCTTGAATGGTCAATTTCGCTTTGGAATGCATGGCATCCGACAATGAGTTTCTTTGATGTACTGATGACGATGTTGAACTTAACATGGAACCGTTGGCTTTCGCCGCCGTTGATGATTTGCTGCGAAAGCAAAATTCTATAATGGCCACAAATACCGCCACCAATAGACCACCGATCAGTATGTAGAAAATGCCAGCTACATTGCTCAATGATAATTCATTGTGCGAAGTTTCCTGATTGTCCTTGTTGAGGTTGCATTCGGTTTTGTCATACCACCATTTATTGCGCAATTTTATCAGTTCACCGTTCTCCTTTAGCGACAGTACAGCCAAATTAATTGGATCTCTGTGCAAATGTGAAAATGTGTATATATACGGATAGTATAGTAAAGTACAGCGTATAAGAATGATATGAGTCGAGTAGTGGTGATTGTGATTGCGATTGTTTTAGTGGGGGCGATTGTGATGGCGATAGTAATACAAGAAAACCAAGTTGTTGTAGTATCAATAATGGTAGTTGTTGTTATTGTTAGCCGTTGCATACGAAAGCAAAAGAAGAAAGACGTAGTTTTAAATTAATACACATTCAGCAGACAGAGGCCCAGGTATAGACATAAGAACAAAGAGTTGCGTCGGGTGTTTGTGCATGATAGATAAATGGTTAGGTATGCGTTGAAAGTTGTCCATCATATTCGTTAGTTCGTTGGTTTGTTAAGCGTATATGCGAATACAAAGAGAGCCATGAATTTATGATGAATATGAAACAACAGCAAACAAAGTAGTTGTGGCAGTAGCAGTAGCAGTAGCAAAAGAAAAAGAAAAAAAAGATGAAAACAAAAACGGGTATTGTCGGGATAGATAAAAAGGGAGAATAACGTTTCAATTTTAATTGAGAGATATTTTCATTTTGTTTTTTTTCTTTTTTTTTTTTGTTTTATTTTTCTTGAAACGATATTCCAAAGTAATGTAACGAAATAAATTTATGCAACAACAAATATGTACTGTAATGAAGAAATTCCGTTGAAAGTTGGAAAATATGGATGAACGAAGAAATAAAAGCTCTGAACACAGTACAGAAAACGGGTGTTCGTCTGTTCAGATCAGATTTAATCACTTATTCCTATATGCATATATAGTATACATAGTATATATATATATATATATATATATATGTATATATATATATATGTATATATAGCTAACTTTGCTTGTGTATTGAATTTTCAATTATTTAACAAAAATTTGGTGATTAACATTTTAATTTTTCCTTAAATTTATCTGAGGTATTCAAAAGAAAAAGTAAGATCGAGTAGCAGTGCGGATAATAACAATAACGTAGTGCAATAGCAATATTATGTGTTGGCTTACTTGAGTGGAGAACCGATTGGCGTGGCAATGCCAAAGCCTTTCGTATCCAGGTTTCGGCCGACTTTCATGGTATCGCAGGGCTCTCGAGCGTTTACATATTCGTTCTTCGGTGATTCTACTAGCAAAGCATACTTTCCTTTTGATGTTCTGACGCGACGTATGCCTTCATCGTATGTGTTCACAAAAACATGCTTTCGTGAATTCATATATTCCCACATTTTGTTGTGTAAGCCGATTTGGGATCTCTGCAAATGGCAGAAGAAGAAAAAAAAATGCACACATATACAAGTATATTAACTATTTTTCATATTTCGGTACTCTTAGTTCTCTGAACGCAAGCATGCTTGTACACGCACGCACACACACACACACACACACACACACACACACACACACACGCACGCACACACACATACGCACATAAACAAACACGCAGCGAGAGAAAGAATGAGCGAAAGAAAGACAGGAAGAAAGAAAGAAAGGAAAATTGGGGTGGGCGTCACACACACAAACACAAACACACAAATCTTGTTTTGAACATGAGAATATGTTCATGAAGTTTTCTTCATATAAGTGCATGAATATAAAAGTTTGGTATATCGCTGCGAGTGTTTGCGTGTAAGTTCGTGCATACGAGTGGGTGAATATGATTGCCTATGTGTATGTGTGTATTAAAAGCTAAAACTTTGTACTTTTGCAGTTGTTGTTGCTGGTTGTTGTTTTTAAGTTGTTGAGCTTAAGTGAAGATGAACAGAACCAGCAGCAATAGCAAAAATCACAAATGCGGATTTTATTCAGTTTGATGGTCTTGGAAAAAAAAAAAAAAAAAAAAAAAAAAAATTAAAAAGAAATATGTGTAAAGAAGCCAAGCATTGCCAGAATATGTACGCAGACCGATGTTTTGACTCAGAAAACGTGAGAGACATAGGGTAGAGCAAGCATATTCAGTCATTCAATAGATATTAAAAGAAACTTTTTTCATTTCAAATATTTTCGTTTTACAGGCATTTGCTATTCAAGAATAATATTTCTTATATGTATGGGTACGTATGCACACTTCGCTGATACCTAAGCAACTAAGGTGAACTTTAGAAGAGATTTTTCTAAAGTAGTGTTAAAGGGATTTTAAGATTTTCCTTTTATTTTTTTTATTTTTTTTTAGGTTAATTTTTATATACGAGGTTTGTATGTTAAGTATTAGAGGTGACATTTTGATTAACGGCATATGTCGTTACATCGCTTTAATTTTTGAAAACATACCTTCATTTTCTATATGTACGATTGCTTGATGTGTCGGTTTTATGCGAAACGCATTTATGGGAAATTTTTTTTCGTGCGGTGCAAAGAGTTACTTGTCGTGCAACTCTCGTATGCTTCTTACATTCATAAGGATATTATTTATTACGTAACCTATAAAGAATGGTAGGTCGTCGTTGCACATTCACATTCCATTTCGTTGCAATAATCTAATTAAAAGATGAAAAAATGATGTAGCGCCTGAAAGCCGGCAACTATTTTGTTTCGAAAGTAGGTAAAAATGATCAAACAATTATATAACATTTTTTTGCAATATATACACTTATATATATATATATATATGTATAAATATATATATATATATATAAAATAATATATATATATATATATGTATGAATTTGCTTACTTTGGTAAATTTAAAATTTCGTAACTAAATCAATCGTTCCATTGCGAGTATGTGCTTATGTATGCTTGCATACATTTTTCCGTTGAAAATTCTTTGCAAAGAAAGGAACCTTTTAAAAATTCCATACGATTATAATAAATTTCGTGAGTATACAAACGAGCTTAAGAATTTCAACAAGAAAAACAGCACAAGAGCGTCAGCAGCAGGAGAGCAGCATTCACATACGCCAATTAATTATTCCCCATCTTTTAAGCCCACTTTTAGCTCATGTAATTTGTACGAACCGAAGCTGACGTGCCACTTTAAATGAGCATATACACGTCGAGGGTTGTTGCTTGGTTTGGCAAGCAAATTAAATCAAATTGATCTTTTCCATGCTTCTTTACACAAACAACATGTTAAATCAACCCCTTTCTTTTTTGAGTTAAGGTGCAGGCAACGTGTACGCGGATGTGATGTGTGCGTCTTTATTACTGTATTTTCATCAAAGAATGGATTAATTTCCTTTTTTCCGTTTGTTTTCATACACATTTTATATTGCGATGATGTTAATGCGATTCGTATGCAAACCAATTCAACTCATAAAGAAATTAGTAAATTATATCTAATGGAGAACAAGTCAATTGCCACAAGCGAATAGAGAATAATTAAAAGGAAGACATTTTCCAAGTCTATAAGAGTAAGCATATGAATTATTCGACGAAAGAACTTATATCAATTATAATAGACGAGAATGGACAATTATGTGATTAAAGTTTATAACGAAGTTTCCAATAGACGCACAAAGGCCTCATCTCTTTCAATAATTGGGATCAACAAATGCGATAAACTTCCCTTAACACTTAGCCAATAATTTAACATTAAATTAATTTTTAACTTAAAATTTGTATACAAGATCAATTGTAGGTTATATCGGCCTTTGCTAAAAATAAAACAAAATCCAATATTTATTATTATTATTATTATTAATTTCGTCAGAGAAATAATTTCAAAGACTAAGCTTCTTAAAAGCACTAGCATCGAAGGCTATCGGCTTTTATTAAAAAACTCTCTTGAGATTCGAACCCACGACCATTGACTTGCTAGTCGAGATTCCTCGCCTTTGGTTACTCAGGCGGATTAATCCAATATTTAATAATGTATTGAAAACAGATAAATGCGATATATGCTATTTATTATCATTATTGAGACCGGTTTTGCTACGACCCGAAAAATGATAGAATCAGGCCATCAGGCGAACTTGCTCATCCTTTGTTTTTTAATATCATGTTTACATAGCCTTATATTTATTGACCGGTTCGACTCGCAAAGGGTCAATATTTTTTTTTTCACCAATTGTAATTTAGTGCCTAATTAAGATCTTTTGCGTATGTCAAATGCACTTGATAGACAATTTCTCATATATCATTTCATTTAGATCTTTTTGAGAGAATAGGGATAGAGCGGAATGAGAAGATGTAAAAATCATAGTGTACTGAACAGCTGAACGTACGCGAAACATTTGCGAAGAACTCTTGACTTTTAATTCAATTAAAAACGAGATATACGAAAGTTAAAATTTAATCGGATCAACGTGCAGAATGAAATTTTATTTATAAAGATAATCCACTCAGTGTAAGGCTAGAATTGCCATCAAAAAGACGACGATGCAACGAAAAATAGTAATAAAAAAATTGTAAAAAAAATTTCCATTTTGTCGATATATGTATATATCTATTATTGCGCCCAATTTATTCTCATCGTATAACCGCGAAACTCAAGTCTTGTCTTCTCTTGTTAACAGTATGGCCCGTCGTAAGGAATTTATAGTGCACAACATCACGTTAATCGAAGAAGACGGTTAAAATTACATCGATTTTTAAGTGATTTCGGCTTGGTCTGTTCGGTCTTGGATTACCCTTTGGACGACATTCGCTCAATTGTTCGGCCGTTTCCGGATCCTATGTGTGGAATCAAGATTCCGTATGCATTTCATGGTCGATTGGTACTCGGATATGGTCTTCTGACAGATTTTAACCCCAAGCTCTTTTTCGAAGAAAGCAAATTTGGTACCAATCGCGATGTGACGTGTTTCAGGCCCAAAATATTTTTTAAAATATTGTTAATTGATCCGTTTAAAATGCTACCTGTGTCCAATTGTTAATCGAAGGTTTTTGAAAACTTTGATTAGTTTGACGGTCGTCCGGGACGCTCTTCATCTTAAACCTATTCTTGGCCTTTTTTGCGCTGTTTATGTCGCTCTTAAACATTTTTCGCATAAGAAATTTCATTTCGCAAACAAAACTTAATGGAACTGCTTTGCTCAACAAAATCGCACGTTGTAAAAATCGAAAAAAAAAAACATTCGTCTGCCGCAGTGCTACCAGTGCTGGTTTAGAAAAAAAAAAAATATTTCTGATATCACGATATCCCCGCACAATCTATCACGAATGTTGGTTGGTCAGAATATCATATGCCAAAAACACTAATTATAATTTACATTAATTACATTTTACTTATCACAAGTCAATAATATTGTATAAATTGGCGGAGGCAGAATATTTGAAATTAATTAGCCGATTATTGTTGTACAATTGTTGTTTTCTAAAGTGATCAGGTGGTACGGCCTAGTGGTAGCTACTTGAGTAAAGTTAATCCTTTACATACATTTTCTCAAATGTGAAAGACAATTGAACCTGTAGAAGATGAAGTAAGACATTTTTAATTGACAGTATATTTTCCGCATGCGTGGAAAAAGCATCTTCCTTGAAAAGGAAGACTAACGCCTTAAACGTAGTAAAAGTTTTGCAAAACGATTCAATTGACGATTTTACTTTATGACTATAGTTTCGAGAACAGTAAACAGTAAGCTTTGAGGATGACAAATATATATTGCATAGTTGAAAGTGTACAGGAATGCATACAATGTCCGTCAAAATCTTCATAAAAAAATGATAAAGAAAAGCTATGAAATGTATCTAAGACATCAACTAAGAAATAAAGAATTCTTTTGTCACACATGAGACCGACTGCCACTAGATCTGTGCTACATAATTACTTACACTATCTTCGAGCACAAAAACTTGTTTTTTATTTCACTGATTATATCTAAAAGCATGCATCGAAGACCATGCAATGCATATTTCTGAGTCGAGCTAAATGAAAATAGATTGGAGCGGTTTTCATTTAAAGACTATCTCAATTGTTGAATTATTGTTGAGACCATATTATGGGACAGCGGACAATAACTATCTCAATTTAATTTCAATGCGTAGACAAATCGCACAGTTCGAGTAGTTTAGTTTATTTAACTTCATGGATGGCTTTAGATCGTTGTCTCAAATGAATGTGATTGAATGTGTGCTGAGAGCTCATTGACGTTGAGACTAATTCTCCCGTCAAAATGACCCACTACCTTTCTTTTTATACTTTCGAATTCATTGTCTTTTATTAGCACGAGAATATTATGTGACGCATAATCTAACTTCATGGGACTTAGTTGATTCTCGGAACTGTAAATAAATTTTCGCATAACTAAACTTGTTGTTGATGGAGAAATTGAATTTCGATAAGTAATTTGACTAAATTAGAAGTCTAAGTAAAGTGTTCAATTTGCTGTACAATCACAATCGATTGTGACGAATTGCAAAATTTAAAAGAAATTAGAACAAATGCAACAAAATTGCTCGAAAACTAGTCGGGGAGCCTCTGTAAGTGGCATCAACACATTTGTATACAGTATAGAGCTGAAATTTGTTTTGATTTTGCATCAAAATTCACAAAATTCTTGTCAATTCTTCTTTTGACTTGTCTGTTGGTGGAGAAAAATAAAGCAAAGCACCCACGTTGATTAGATGTATTCTTAATGACACGGTACAATAAAAATATATATAAAAAAAAATAAATTAAATCCTTAATAAATATATTTCACCCTACTCAAGTCGTACTCTGCTATCGTGCTATATAGCTTGTAGAAATGTATATATAATGAACCGAATATGCTAGTATTAGGTGATGGGTGTCTCTTAGATTCGCATCAAAACGAATACAAGTTTCTCACGTATTTTTATCTTACTTTACAAAATCACTATACACTGTTGCGCTTCTGATTTATCAAAGTAACAGTAAGTGTCTGTGTGTATGAATAAGTTTACCTTGGACGTGTCCGAACAAGAGTATCATGCCTACAAGGTTGAAACATTGCGAAATATATATAAACTATCAACCGAAACACACAAACACAGACACACGCACACACACACACACACACACACACACACACACACACACACACACACACACAC